TGTCAATTGATTCTGCCTTTTTTTTAATTTTGTTCTCATTTTTTTTATTGAAAAATCTGACAAATGCATCAGGTCCTTGTGATCTGTAACTTAAAACTCGTCAAAAATTTACAGTATTTAAATTGGAATTTCATGGAAACTGGAATTTCATTAACTATTCTAGTGCCTGTATAACTCATTTTTAAATGACTGTATTACTAACAAGAAGCAATATAGGTAAAAGAAAATTAAAGAAATTCTAGTTTTCTAGAGATTTTCCATAAGTACTGTAGTTCTTTATACAGTTTGTCTTTTTTTTAACCCCACAAATTACTTTACAGTGTCATTTTAGTCCCTAGTGGTAAAAAGCAGAACTATTTTTCTATTAAAAATCGAATTCCCGTGGCATTACACAAAATAATGTTGAGTTTGGTTTCTCACTAAAGCTTTATAGATGTGTTTTCTAATCATTTCTTCCTGCGTTTAAATGCAAATGTTATTATAGCGTCAAAGCACAAGAAAACTCCAAAAGTGCATTCAAAAGCGTAACAAACCAAAATAAACAAACCGAACAAAATAATCAAGATTAAACAAGCACTTATTCAGCGATTTTTTTTTTTTTAACTTGAATCTCAAAGAAATTTAAAAGACAAAGTTTGTCATTTATTAGAATGTAATTTATCTTACAAATTCCTATGATATAGTTCAAAAATTATAATTACATTTTTAAAGGTTTAAAGAGAAAAGCTATTCATGAAAATGATTCCCGCTACTGCTATTTTGTTGGTCTAGGGATCATTGATGTTCTATAATTGTGAGACCAATAGCACAACGATGGTAGTGGGGTCAGCATTGTGCACCGGTCGCCTTTATTTCTTAGACCAGTCATCGATTAGAAGCTGGGTGGGACTTAAACCGCCGCCGGAGATGAAACCCATTTCTTCTAATGCGCAGTGCTTTTATCATTGTGCCATTGCGGTTAAATTATAGAAAGTGCATTCAAATATTTATTTAACAATGCGGTGGCATGATAAACTTAACAAAATTTTTGTAAATTTTGTGTTGCCAAATTTCGGAAATACTTAAAATAAATAAATGTAGTTATAATTTGAATTTTAAATTTTTTTTTAAAAAATGTATGCATAATGTCGAAAAAGATTCGTCGCTTTTTTATTTATTTATTTCTTTTGTGAATTGTTTATAAAAAAAAAACAAATATAAAGTTTTTAGATGAATTTAAAAAAAAATTTAATTTAAGAAATAACTAAAATTTGCATTTTACTTAGTGTTTTGATATATTTGATGCTTCTCAATATATATATATATATATAAAATACACAGAAATATAAATTTTTGGAAAAGATTATTTTGAAACAAAAATTTATTACGTAACAATGCATAAGATTCAATATGAAATTGTTTTGACAACAAAAACTAAATAGATATTTTATTATCTAAAATTAAAAACTATGAAATTGATGTTTTTACAAAAAAGTAACTTTAGTAATTTATTTACTGATCTTACTGATTACTTTAAGTAAAATTTAGAATCTGATTTTAAAAATTTTATGTATTCAAATGTAAAAAATTCGAATTTTTTTTTAACTAGAAAAAAATAATTAAAATTTTTCCCCATTAAGCTGGGAAAAAACAAGTTTTAGTATAGCCTTCATTTCTTTATTACTACTGTAGAAACAATAATATACATTTAATTTTACATTTTCATTACTTTTATTCTGATTTGTTAAGAAATCCAGTTTAATGCCACGCTAGTTGTTCCAATGTTAAATTAATCTCAGCTGTGGTTAAATTAGAGCATCAGAATTTAACATGACAGCTGATCGGCAAGAACCCGTTTCCGGAAATTCCGTAAATCCGCTTAACATCCAGTTTAATATTGTTCTCAGAATAATACTAGACAGATTGCGTCCTGCTGCGCCATACTCATACTAGTATAATAGATATAAAGTTTTAAACGATAAAATTGTCCCAAGTAGCAAATATTATGATCATCTCGATCATATTATTTTGCTCTAAACATATATAAATGTACTATAGGATATTTGTGGAAACAAAACGAGTTTTTTAACTCTGTTTCCTAAAATAAAGTCCGATGATAAATTTTAATTTATAAATACATTTTAGCATAGAATGATCATATGAAATTTGCTATGTGATTTTGCTCCCATTAAAAAAATATATTTTACGGTCAACTTAGTAACAAATTATTCTCCATACAGTAACGCTTCGAATATGTTTGTAGTACTCTGAAACAAGATTGCTATATAATATTTGTACATTTAAATCCAAACTGTTGAAACCCAAACATTTAACACCGGACATTAAAAACCAAGAAAGCGTTTTTGATGGCTTTCGAGAAAATACTGAAACTATCAATGTGTTCATTATAAAAAGCGCGAAATTTGACGGTCAATATTTTCTTCCCAAAGCCAAAATAGACTGTTAATATTTAATTCAGTTATTCTAAGCATTTTTTTAAAAAGATTATTGAATAATACTTGATGTAAATTTCGAGTTAGTTACTGTAGTAACGTTTTGTTATTTGGAAATTATATTTTTATTTATTATTATTATTTTTCTGCCGAAATATAGTAGTAAAAACAATAAGTTTTCTAAAAATTCTAATTTAGTTAAAATAAAAGTTTTCTCCACAACTAGAATTAAAGAAAGGTGGAAAATTTATTTACCGAAAAAGACCTAAATTATTTTATAATAAATATTAAAAAAATAAAATTTTACCTGGAATTAATTTCCAACTCATACTCTAAAAATTCTTTCTAACATTGTATACGAGAAGCAAAATTTATTTTTTAACTGCCAAGAGATGTTTTTTTAGAAATGTTTCAAGTTGCAGTTGCAGTACTTATTAAACAAACGAATATTTATGGATGAATGGTACTAAAAAGAAGGAATCCTATAAGCGACATACGATGCAAGCGTATTAAAAGGTTAAAACTGAGACAAGAATCACTTATAAACCACTATAAAAAAAGATATTAAATCTTCCAGTTGTCCAATTTTTAAATTGAAACACTTCATTCAGAATCGCTTCGAAAGGTATCTTTATAACCATTTAAAATAAATACATTCATTAATCAATACCTTAAAACAATTTACCTATTTGTGGATAGAACTTTTATAGATTGTTATGAAACGTTTTTAAACGTGCGAATTAATTCTTATTTACACTTTTTCCTATTTAAAGTAAATATTACATTATTTTTTTTAAAGAAAAATCTTCCCTCATAAATTGTTGTGAGCATTGAAGTTTTAAAACGACATTATTCCGCAAGCATTAAAACTGAAAATATCTTTGGCTCTCAGAAATCTTTCCATTAATTTTTTTATTTTGATATTATTTGTTACTAGAAACTATCGAAAGCATTTTAAATTAATTCCTTTAGCTTAATGGGTTATTACAGATTAATGATAAAAATTAGCAATAATCCTAGTTTAGTAGTTAGTGTTGGAAAAAAAATTAATCTATAGTTTTTATTTATATTTATTTATTTTGCGTGTATATGTGTGTGTTTGTCTTTAATAAAACTTTATAATGGTGCTTAGATGGGTTCACTACCTGCAAAACTTTAAAACAATAAAAAACCAAACAAATATTTCCAAAAATAAAAACATAAGCATGCTAGTGTCAAATGGAATAGTGGTTGATTGCTTTTAAATGTTTAAAATTTGTAAAATAAATAGAACAACAAATATTCTCAATATATCTTTTATTACAAATTTCAAAAACAGTAGAAAAATGCATAAATAAATAAAATTGATAACATCTAACAGTATGAAAAGCAAACAATAAATTAAAAAGAAAACAGAACAAAAATTTAATTAAAATGCCCACGTCAAATTAAAAGAAAACACAAACTTTTTGTTATTAACATGCTTTTTTTCAATTCTAGAAAAGAAGGTAAAATGTCATATCAAATAATGCATGCTTGGTTGATAACAAGAGGATCGCATGAAAAAACAACTAATAAAATCAAATCAAAAATGTTATATCTATATGTTATTAAATACTACATGACAACTTAAGAAGTGCTATATACTCGTATTTTATCTTTTTGTGTTATAATACGCTCGAATACTTTTGCACTATTATAATTTTAAATGTTTTAATAAGTTTGACCGAGCAGCCTTATATTTATTTTATTGCGCAAAACGCAAAGAATTATTTTCAAAACAAACAACTATTCGAATACCAATATTTTTTTTTTTTTAATTATAAATTTATCAATCATATTTATCATGTTTAAAAGCATTTTACAAAACTTTGAGTCATTATTTTTCTGAAAAAAAAATTCTATGATGTGAGCACATAAAAAAAGAAATTTTATATTTATCTCATTTACGTCTTTATGGTATAATATAAAATGTCTACATTTTTTAAAACACTCATTGATAATATACCTAATTAATAACATACCTAATTAATAACATGAATCAAACATAAATTTTTGATAGCTATAATTCAGTTAGTTATTTAAAAAGTCCCCTTCAAACCAATTAGAAGGGTTGTTACTTCGGTTGTGTTTTGGAAGAAATTACTATTATACAAAAGTTTTAATCATAAAAATAATATGGCATGAATTGTCAATAATATTGCAAAACATCCCATGACCTGTTACCGAATATTTACCATTCATTGCGTCTGCAAAAAATATTGGTAACGAATATTTGTCACGTTCTAAAATGTGTCAATTATATTGTCTGTGTTTATAAAATTCATCTAAAAATAGAGGGTAAACAAAAAGTTTCCCCTCCTCCCACGATGTCACAATTGTTTGCATCTCTTGCCTGAAGAAGCAAACCCCCTCACGGTACTCAACCCCCGACATCCCATCGCGCTGCCCTTGGGGAGCTCTTGTGAGGGTCGTCCATAGAAGACATTCTACAATCATAAACTTTTACTTTAGTGGTTGTGATTTGAAGGCAATGGCTGCCACCTGAGTAAGATAGCTGCATGGTTAGTTAGGCAAAAGTAGGCTTACCTCTATCGGTATGTCTTTATCTAGGTATGCGTTGCAGATCTGTTCAGCTTCTAGGTCCAAATGAGATCTGGTTGTTGAGGAATGCTGGCAGTCTGAAGCGTCTTATGCCATCATACGGGTGTCGGAAAATCGTCCAATCAAGTGCGCTTGTGAGGGGCAGAAGTGTGGGCAGTAAGGATCGATCGACACTGGGTTGTCCCGCCGATCGCTATACCCCCTTCTCTCAGCCAGCATCTCCGCCGAGTTTTGCTCCGTTTCAGAATATGCGTCAAAGTACAACTGCGCATCATGGCGCTAAAACACACGGGATGCTTTTGAAAACGAGATTTTGGCTTTTATCGTAAGGCTTGTTTCAAACGGGAAGAAGTTCGGCTCTTTTTAAGATCTTTGCACGTTATCCTTTGACGGAACTTACCTGGAAAGATTGTTTTCTTCGCAGGTACAAAGTTTTAAATTTATACTTTTATGTACTTCGTGATTTTTTTCTTTGTTTATAAATTTTTTTTTCTTAAATCAAAACTTGCGAAGATTATTTTATATCGATAATTATTACTGCTGCAGCGAAATTGCCTCTTTTAAATCATCCTTCGAATAATCAACTAAGTTTCCCCTCCTCGATTTTTGCGCCTCTGTTTCTGCCCCTTTCAAATAAAAGTAGAATTGCAAAGCATGATTTTAATTGAGTACTTTTATTCAAAATTTTTCTCAAACTTGGATATTAAATTATTCATTTACTTTGCTTTAAGAATAATACATTTGTTATATAGATATATACTGACAATAAGATTTGTTTCAATACGTGGGAATGATATTTCGCTTTTTTCATGCTTCTTATGCGTTATTGCGTTGTGAAAATCTGGGTCTACAGCGTGCGTATAAAATTCCATTGATATTATATTTTACTTATAAAAAGACAGCTAAAACGAAAAAAAAAATCTTATGTACCTAATCATAAACTTGCTGTTACTCTTTCTTATTCAATTTCATTTATTTATGCATTTATTTAGTTTTAGATTTTCACTCTCTCACAATAAAGGTTTGAATATATTGTGAAAAGTGCAGTTTATTTAACGTATAACTTTTTGGATAAAATAATCTTCAGTAAGCAAATTTTAAAAATTTGTGTTCAAAGTTAAAAATTTCATTAAATGCAATAGAAATTCCACCAGAAAGATTTATTTGACAACTTTTGGTTATGATTTGGAAGAAAAAAAATTTCTCTTTCTCTGACTGCCATTGTAAAAACCTATTTTTTAATTAGTTTTTAATTATAGTTTTTAACAATAAAAATATTGTGCTTAATTAGTATTGATTTCAAAAAGGGAAGATTCAACTTACATTTTGGACAGTTTGATGACATCTTATTATTTCAGTGCAGTGGATTTAGTTTCAAAACAAAAATGAACAGAAAAAAAAAATTATACTATAAAATAACTTGCAATATGCAAAAAAATATCAAAAGTTAAAATTTATTTTTTTAAAAAGTAAGTGAGAAATTAAAACAAGATTATTTAATTAGTTTTTGTTAAAGAAGTTTATATAGTATCGCATTTAATAGTTTACTTTCTTCTAATTGACGTATTTTAAGTAAAATCGCATTTTCTACCATTATTTAAAACTCGAGTTTTAGGAGGTTAAAAATATACTCATCATAAGAAACACAAATTTATAACTGACCATATTTTACATTAATTCCGAAACAACGTAAATTTCCATAAAAAATAAAGTTTTTTATTAGTATGCAATATAGTATTTTGAATCGACTGTTTGTACACGGATACTTATAGTTCTTATTACCACACATTTAGTAAAAATTGCGAAACTGAAAATAGGTTTTATCTGAATAAATATTTTTTATGCCACACTCTAAGGTACAGTAAAATTGCCAAATTTTACCACATTTTCCTAATTTTATCACATACTATAAAACCATATTTTATTGTAAATTTTACCAAAATCGTTACCAAAGAGCTTTGTTAAAAATTACCGAGTTTTTTTTGTTCCCATAGAGCCTGAAACATGGCAAATTCTACCATACTCTGGAAGTTTTGACCATAAATTATTTTCTCAATGCGTGGTTTGCTTAAATTTGGTTGTCTTCCAAAAACATGAGACAAAAAATGTATTTAACTATCTTAAAATCAGGTACTTCAAAATAAATTTTTTTTTGGTGACCATCAAATATCCAGTAAAGGAACTCCATTTGTATATAATCCTTTATCACTAAGAACTAAATTAAAGAGTATAGTACTGTTATAATTAATAAGTTATCATTTTAAATTTTTCAGTATAACCTGATTTTTTTCACAAAAATGTGTTTAAAAATACAACCACCATTTAAGTTACGCTTATTAAAAATAACTTACAATTAATAATAATTTTAAAAAAATAGGTTAAGATTTACGAAATATTGGGCACCAACTTCGAATTTTTAGGTGTAGTCATTGACCGGGTAAGGAGCAACATTATGAAATTTTGCTTCTATCCAGTGACCACTTTTTAAATTTGGAGAAATTTAAAGTTAAAAAAAAAAGCTGTTACAATTACTAATGTAAGATATTCTTTTCGAAATCTTTCTCAAAATACTTAAAAAATTTAATTTCAAATTGAAGGATATTTTAAGAAACAAGCACGAAATTTTCAGAATATTATAAATTATATTTCCTTACTATTTTTTTAAAAAAAGTGTAATAACAATAAAATACGCATGTGGTGCATTTTCATAAAAAATTTTGATCAAATGGCGACTGGCAAACAATTTTAATAGTTGGTTGATTTACTTAGTCTCCCTGCGGCGACTGTTGATTTTACTCTGACAGGGTAATAGAAATTTAAGGACCCGAGTCTAAAATAGATATATTCAAAACTGCATGACTAAATGTTATGTATTCGGAGTAATGCTATATTTTGAAAATATGAAGTTTTTTAAATTGATTCAAACCCATTCCGGTTTCTGGTTCTTTTGTATCGATTCTAGGGTTTTCAGTTATTTGCTAAACTTTTCGCTTCTAAGTTTCATTAAAACAATGCAAAACGCTTTATTGATCAGCAAAATAAGATAGGTTTAGCTCTGAATCTGATGTCTCATGTTTTACGAAAAAAAAACGCAATTCTCAATTAAGGAATTAATAAAAATAATCATAAATATTTAACAATTACTTCAGTGAAATTTTAAGAAAATTAAAAAGTGCGGTTATAATCAAACGATTGTTATTTGCCTCTAAATAATACTGTTTTAGCATGATAATTGTTTCCTTAAAACTTAAAATGTTATTTATTAATTTAAGTTTCGGTGCTCACTTAATAATGATAACGTTAAAATAAAGAAAAAATAATTTTTCCAACAAAATTTTAAGAAATTGAATGTATTGAATACATATTTCTAACAAATTATAAAAGTTTCTTAAAAATGACAGAAAAATAATTTTAAATTGTTTTTAACAATATTGTTTTGAAAAAATTTTATTTGTTTTTTTCTAATTTTAGTTATCTTTCCAAAACTGATGAATATCGATTTCTTGGAAAAACCAAAATTCCATTTTAGTTTTTCCAAGAAAAACTTTATTTTCTACCCTTTCTTAAAAAAAAATCGATGTTAGAAATCGATGCATGTCGATGTTAAATATATGTTAATTGCATAGCATAATTATTTTTGCGCTGATCCATAAACTGACTTGAAATATATATAAAAAAAACATTTAAATGGTCCCAAATTTTTCACGCTGTATTCGCGTTGTTGTCGCAGATTAAATTACCGATTCAATTTGGATGAAACAACATTCTGTTCTGTACTAAAGCATTCTATATTTTCTGTCAAAAAAGCACTTGAATAAGTACACTGAGAAAAAAAGGATGTTTGAAGCTAACAGTGGTAAAGTTTACCGTGTTTCTTGCTCTATGGTAACCATGCACGGTAATTTTTACCGAAAAGATTTAATATATGGTTTTATATGATTTTAATAAAATTAACAATAAAATAAAGTTTTATAATGTGTGGTAAAATTTGGTATTGTTATCATAATACCTTAGGGTATGCCAAAAACCATTTATAGTATTAAATTTACTTTTCAGTTTTATTGTTTTCATTAAATGTGTGTTGAAGAGGAGTACAATAGAGAAAAGTAGAATTTCTGATAAAACGTTAACAAATAAACAGAAAAATACCGAATGAACAGTTCAAATACCATATATTTTGGCTTTCTTAAAGAAAAAAATTATGTAACAATCACTATTACTATTAGCAGAACTTCATTACCTTTGTGTTCGGTGATTTTACCAGATTTTTTTTCTCTGTGGATTATTTTGTGGATTGATATCGAAATAAAGAAAGACGTAACATGTAATATGAAAACTTGAAAACAATCAATGAGGACCAAAGAGGCAAGTCAAGAAACATAAATGAGCATTAAATTTCAAAAGTGGGCATTATTTTATGAACTAGCGTTACTTTAGAAAAAAGTACCCCATCCTGGTCTGAAAATTCCTCCTCTTACTTTGTGAAGGCCGCAAGAGGTGCAGTCAAAGCAAAACCCAATCAAATCAAAATCACAACCATGATACAAAATCAGTATAATATCAAATTTAATATAGTAATGAATAGAATTGATCAATAGATATTTATGGTAAAGATAAAATCAGTATAATATCAAATTTAATATAGTAATGAATAGAATTGATCAATAGATATTTGTGGTAAAGATTACGTAATAAGATTGGAAGTCCATGCATGAAACGTATGGTACGCAAGAGTTAACCTTAATCCTAATCTTTAGGCAAATCTTTTAAAAAAATCTTAACTTTAAATCTTTTAGGCAAAAATTAAAAAGGCAAACCATTGAAACAATCAATATATTTTTTAAAATCCAACAATTCACATTAAAATCTCTTAATAAAATAAGAATTCGAATTATAATAATAGCGATTCATAATATAAAAGGATAACACGTTTTAAGTATTACACAAAAATTAAGTATGAACAGTAGCTGAATATTCAGTACAGGATACTCAAGGGAAAGATAACTTAAAACAATGATAATAGTAATGTCTTGAATACTATAACATAATTAGGATTATTTGAAATTATTACAAAAAGACATCATTTTTTACACTTTAAATATATATATATCAGAAATGTCGTTGCTATATAAAACGGTATTTTCAGTCGAATTTTTTTTCTGAGTGTAATGATGCTATAAGCTGACTTCTGATAATATTTACAATTTTGAATCCATTATTTTAGCTGCATATTTTGACGAGCCACAGTTTTGCAGAAGCCTTATAACAAAAGCATATTTCATTTATTTACTGTTGTTCAAAGGTTATTAAATTTCGATTTAAAAATGCTTTTCCTATAATGTTGTGCAATATCAAAGAAGTAATTTGCAAAAAAAAATAAACGTTTAGTTTTTAGCCTTTAAATAAATCAGAAACATAGCAAAA